CTTTTGACCACAAATTATTCATTTTATAACAGAGTCTCCATGAAAAGAGTATGTGCATATGAATGCCCTAACACTGGAAATAAATCTTCACTTTAACTTTGTTGACCCTGCAAAACCTCCCATTGTCAGCAATTCTTGGAGCCCCTCTATTTTTAACCACTATCTGAGTCCAGCAATACTCTCTAGCTGTCATTCAATGTCTTGAGATTATAAATCCAGAACCTTCAAAATCTCATTGGCTTAGCATTAGAGTCATAAAATGTGAGCCTCATTCAGAAAGTCACATGCTATATCCAGAATGGACTATGGCTTCTTTTTCAGTTTGTGGAGCTGAATAACCCAATCAATTGGAAATTCCAGTTCTCTCTACTGACTAGACTTACTATCAAGGTTGAAGGGAGACAGTGTGATATTTAATTTGTGTTCCTCATATTAACTAATTTTTAAGATCCTGATCTATGTAAGAAAGTGCTTTTTTTTTTTAATTCCTCATTTCTAAGAATATTTGGAGCTAAAATTGTCAAAGATAAACTCAATCTTCCCCCAAATTTGACTGTGATAGGAAGTTCAATATATATGACCCCAAACCATTTTATATTATATTTCTGGTTGCAATTTTTAGATGTACAAGATTTTAAATCATGCCAAAACTCCTGGGTATTTACCCAAATCTTCACTAAGCTCCAAGCTTCTTATAGTTCACTCATGTTTAGTAGGCATCAGGTCCATTAAATTTAATTGTAACCATATTGTCTCTGCTTAACAGTAAGTGGAAAGAATGAATGCCACAAACTTTAATATTCAGAAGGCCTAGTCTAGGCTGGCTTTTCACTGGAAGATTGTGTACAGCTCTTGGCTCCAAAGGCCAACAGACAAGGGGAAATTGAATACAGTTCATTAAAGCTTTACAGGGGCCTGGGAATATTCAATCCAGAAAAGAAAATAATAAAGAATTCTTTTTAGCATTTAAAAAAGTGAGTAAATAAAATTTATTATAAAAAAGTGAGTAAATAAAGAGTTACTTTAGAATAAAATGGAACATCACTCAAGTTTGGTATAAGAAACTGTATTTTCTAAAGTAAAATTATTGAATCTGGAATTGAAAACCGGGGATAACTATAGATTCTTCTCTGAGATATATAAAATAGAGTGAGTTTCTGGTATGTGGACTTATGTATCTTTCATGGAGATGTATGGTTAGATTAGGTATTTTCTGAAGTACTTTTCCAATTGTAGATTTTTAATACTAGTAATCAAATATAGTCTTCTTGGAAGTCTATTTAAAGACAAGTAATGTTTAAGTAAACCTAGAAATGTGATTAAGTAAATTGCAGAAAGTGGCATTGTCATTTATTTCTAAATAAGGAGGATTTATGTGTAGTCATTCCTCTAAGTAAAAATATAGGAACCAAGCTCGTTAATTACAGATTATACAAGATAAAAAGCAAATAGCACGTAGTACAAGAATAAACAATGAGGCTCTACTGTTTTGCCTTAGAGAGCTTGTCATAAATAGGCTCCTACTCAGAAGAGGAACTGAAAATACAGAAAGGTATCTGGTAGCCCCAGAAAACATTTGAAAAAGATGAAATGTTTCTTTGGTGCCTCTCTACCCCCACATCTCAAGTTTCCGGTATCTTTTTTACAGCTTTCTGGCTGTTTAGAGTCATTCTTAGAAATAAGCACATAATTTATGTCATCTCCATCATAAAGACACACCCTCTGCTATTAAATATTTTTAGGTCCAATGCTTTCAATTCAATATTTTTAGTTCTGTTTCCCATTATTTTGAGTTAACTGATTAATTTATGCCAGAGAATGATATATCCTTAAGAGGGTATACTTTTGTATATGTTTCTTTAATGCTTCTACTGCTGAGAATTCTAGACTACTGGTTCAAAAGGGACTGATGGGACATTTTGTTGTCCCTGGAATCCTACCAATCAGGTGCCTACCTCATCTGTGTGTTTTGACCAGCATAGATGAACTAGGAAACAAACAATCTGGATTTACATGTTGAAATATCTTTCTGTTCTATTTCTCGTCTATCAAATATAAACAGAATTCATATATATTTCTAAATTTAAAATTAAATCATTCTTTCAAATATTCTTTTATAATTGACTGTCTACAAACTCTTGAAGAGGTTAAAAGAAAGTTATGTCTAATCACTTAACAATGATTACAATCCAATCATATGAATTGAAAGGGTTTGTTAATTATGTCTCTAAATGGAAAATTTAATTTTCCTTGCCTCATTAATTTACAATAAAGAAAGATTTTCAGGGATTTTAAACAGCGTTAATGATAGGCGATTCCAACACTCACTGGTTTGCTGCGCAATTTCAATAAATTGAAGAGATTTGTTTAGTTTGCCAGGATTTAAAGCTATGGTCAATTTTTATTTGTCAAAGTATACATTGCTTTTGAGAGCTAGAAGAAGCAATTACTTTAAAAAGGTCATTTGACACTTAACAAGGTTTTTTGTTGTTGCTGTTATTTGTTTTGTTTTGTTTTGTTTGATAGTGTTCAGATATTTGGAACATAAAGAATTGTGGAGTAGGACAGAAATATTTAGTACAGATGAAATTATAAAGATTCTATTCCACTTGCTATATCTTAACTCTTAAATATCATGTGCAAAGTTTGTATGTCCAGAACACATAAACTAATGACACCTAACATTTGCTGCACTTAGACATTTTTAAAGTGTATTCACATTAACTCTTTTAATCATTACAGCAACCCTGTGAAGTCGAAAGGATGGACATTATAATCTCTATTTTATAGCTGAGAAAACAAAGCTTGGAAATATTGTTCCTTACCCCAACACCACATGGCTAATTAGACCAGTATCCAGAGTGAGTTTGGTTTGGTATGGTGTTCTTTTGCTGCTATTAGTTTGTCTGTTGGGTCCTCAGATTTATTTCCTTAGTAATCATGGTACTAGACCATGGTTACTTAGAAAACTACATAAGTATTTGAGTTTTTGCTACAAGAACCCATACTAGGCCAAATACGGGCTGCCATTGCTTTACACTTCCAGAGGCAGTTCAGTCCCTTGCAAACTATTCTAGGATCCAAAAAGAGGATGAAGATGCAGAAAGATGACATTACTAAAATTGCATAGTTGTCAGTGGCATGCTATTTGCCAAGGGTGCTTATAAACAGAGAAAAAAAAAATGGAGTCAATAGGGAAATAAGACAATGCCATCTAGTGATTAGGAGGTCTGATAAGAAAAAGTTTCTAGAGAAAATCTAAATTTGGTTGACAGAGATATTTCAATATAAATCCTAATCTACTAAACTAAGTGGTTTAAACAAAAGGACTTATTTAAGGTTTGGGTTTGCTTGTCAGTAGAACCTGAATGTTTAGTCACATTTAGAGAGCCTTCACTATGTAATGTAAATGGAAATTTGCAGGCCAGCATCATGCCATAGGAAATGCATGGGCTTTAGTATTATAATCATCTGTTTTTGTGTAATCTGTCACATAATGTAGTAACTTCTGCAAAAATCACTTCATCACTCTGATACTCACTTTCCTCATCTGTAAATGATACATATTTGGCATTCAAGAAATAGTTGTTACTATTTGGGGGCTCAAATAAGAACCACAAGGTCACTTACATGGCTTCACTGTGTTCAAACAGTAACAATACCTGCAGAACTCTGAAAGCTGCTCTTTAGGAAGCAGAAAAGAACCTAGAAATCAAATAGGTCAGCTCTTTGCAGGGCTGGCATAGGGAGGTACACTCTACGACATTGTGGAAAAGTCTGTCACTGAGCAAAGGCAGTGGTAAAAAATTGCTAAAAAATTACCTCCAATCTGAGAAAATTTCATTATTATGTTTATTTACTTGCATTCATTTGTAAACTTTAAGTGCATACCATTTGTACCTCTTAGTCATCCAAATATGTTAACATTGATTAAGAGAGATAACATATTTGAAAATGATCTTAAAATGCTATAGCACTTTAAAGATATAGGATCAATTATAATTCTTTATTTTCAGCAG